CTAGATCATTTACTGGGGAAATATACAAAATAGAGTTTGGTTTTATCCCAGTGGGGTGTCTGACTCGAGCTGGCAAGTTTGGGCCGTGTTAGGGGTTTGGCAGGAACACAATACAGTATTGTTGATCGCTGTTGTCGCGATTTCTCGGGATTTCGGGACATTCACTTAGCCAATAGAATGGGTCGGGAAGGGCTATCAAGGACAATCAGGAATATTAATTAGAAAAATACACAATGTATGCTGACTAAAACAGGAAAACTATCTCCAGTTTGGCATGAGAACATTTCTAAAATCTAGGTGGTCTCTGTCCTAATGTGACACACGCAACGCTTGCTCTAAAATGTGAGTGTGAGAGATTTGAATTTGTCATTTTCCTATTTTAATCAGCGATTTATAAACCCCTGTTTTAATATTTCAAATTTTATCTTCACATCACTTTTATTCTCATACATCTCCTTTCCCAAGTAATTTGTTATTATCATTACTATTTTGTATAATAACAAGTATTGTTTTGATGGCATTTGTTATATTTATTTGGGTTAAATTATATAAACATAATTATTATTGTAATAAAGGATATAGCCACGTGATTGCCTTCTACAAGGATTTGGGTATCAGACGTCTTCATTTAAAGAAAAGAAAGTAATTTGTAGATTGTATAATTTATTTTCCCATTACAATAAATCAAAGAGATTGCCGAATTCGATAATATTTGGTTTAACTGACGTTTAAATAGTTTCTACAAGATATGAGTTTCTACTGGTTATTACCAGATAATTGTTTCGTTCAGTAATTCATTTTCCTTTATTATTTCTGTCAAAGTATAGATATAACGTTGTTGTTTTAGTCAATGCATTTTTGTTACAATCAATGACTGAAATATATATTACAACGGAATGACAACCTATCATAGATCTTTCTCCGATAGAAGAGGTTGTCTATGTATGTGTACTTATAGAAATAAACCCGCTCAGTATAGATATTGGTTACACTGCTTTCAGGTCATCTATAGCTTAGCTAATAATGAAAATAATACATTTCAAAAAAATGAACCACATGTTTTTTAAGACATACATTAAGCCGGTTTTAAATACATGATAAAATTTTAGTGCGATGAATTATGTTTAGGTATAATTTACTTTTCAGTCAATTGACAAGTCCCCTATGCTAATGGTTACCTTAATGGACTGGTGCAATACTGAAGCATCTCATAATCATAAAATGACGTATCGAGTACAAGTACGTTTCACGTAATTATGGATATTGCTTACATATTTTTATTTTATTTTTATACACATGGAATATGCGTAGTTACTTATTTGAAACATAGTCATCTTTATATTTAAAAAGAGCCAAGAATCCATTTTATTCTAAAAATTCATGTATTCCTATAATTAACTCAATTGGTTATGTTTTGTAGCGACTATAACTTTGTAGAAAAATATTAATATAAGTATAATTTTATTCGGCAAATATATATATATTGATTTATATTAACGCGTTTATCAAATACATTAGGTTTGACATGTATACAGTTGATGATATAATATACATGTATCTGTTTCTGCAAAGCTACTTTTAACTTCAGAAACGTGAGTACATCTTCTACCACATGTATACATTATAGACGTGCCAGCCTCTGCGAATAACACGCTTCTAACCGGTGGTAAAATATTTAGGCGCAATACTCTGTGATGTTTACCTGAAATGATCAGTACATTTCAAATTATGACTTACCATTAATGATGCCTCTCCATACTTCTGCAGTTCCAATGGCTCAACTTCCGTCAAAAATATTTTATAATACAAACGAAGTTGCGTCATTACAGCCGCCCTTCAAATATGACCTTTTTGTCAGAATGCTCCGAACACACGTACGCTAACCCTTCTAAGAAGGTCTTTCACCTTTTCTTTAATATTCTCCCAATTATCTTCTACAGAATAGCCTAGTTCTTCGAAATCTCTACAAGAAATCTATTAACATGGAATTTGTATTGATAACCATACAGTTCTTTTTATCAATTCTTTGTGATTCAAAAAATAATATCAGCAAACAATTATATAATTTTTGACCTTTTGATTGATTGTGTTTTGGGAAACGCATTTATAAAGTTGTGATAATGATTATGTTTTGTGACAATATAAAATCTGGAAAAAATCATTACTTTGTACTAAAATATGTTTATCCCAGACTGTTAAAATGTACACATCATTGTATAGCATTTAGAAGGCTACAAAATATAGAATGGTATAAGATAACAAAACGTATATGGTAACCTTAAACTCGAAATTGTGGTAGAACGCGCTTCCTAAAATTTAATATGAGATCGATGTTATGAATACGGGCCGACATTTTTTATCTGACAATGTAATATATGGTTCCACCACTTAGTTTCTATAATACTGACACATCCTTGTTTTCTTACGGACGTCCAACAGTGGTAATGTATTTGCCGCATGTGTTTTCTATATATGTAACATATTTATTATTTAAGTAAGTGGTTTGACGTTTTATATTCCTCTATCATTTCTTCATTAATAATTCATTAATAAAAACATGAGGAGTAACAAAGAGTAAAATAGTTGTGTTTAATTTGTATAGGTGTTTACAGCTTACACATAAAAAAACTAAGTATTTTTCTCATTATTTCAAGGATTGCAGAGTTTTGATCTTTTTTCGGGTGGGAGGGGGGTGGGGGGTGTTAAAGTTAAAATTACTTTTATTTCCCAGTCCTTCGTTCATCCTTGTCACTTTCAAATGCAATTGTTGTATTTTTCTTAATGAAACAAAAACATAATTTATATGATTTTTTTTTATATCATGACAGCTGTTCCTGTGCAAAACCTCATTTTCTTTGTTCGTTTCTTTGTTATGTTATGTTTTTTGGAGGGGGAGGAGGGTGGGGAAGGTGGTGATATTTAACCTTAAGAGTGAATAATGCCTGCAACAGTCATAATTGTAGAAGTTAGATATGAATACTTTTACTCAAACACTTAAGTTCAAGGGGAAACCAAACATAATAGTTATTTCAATTTGATTTTAGTATTTCTGATTTACATTGGCATGTGTTAGTAGAATGTGAACATAGTTCATATTCTTAGATCTTAATAACGATAAGTAAGTGATTTTAAATATTTTATTTTCATTTTTTTTAAGCGAAAAAAAGGACGAGAAGATTAAAGGGAACTTAAGAACATAGAAAAACTTACATAAACATAATTGCCACATATTATAAACATTTTTACTCAACAAGCATGCAAATATAATCGACATTTGATGGAGAATCATCCTGCTTAACATACCAGTTAAATATAATATTAGGTATGTTGACATCTTGACCGTTGTAACAAGATGTACAGGAGCGCTTTGCTTTCATCGTTTATCTTTATTTTTGTTTTTGTTTTGTTTGGGGTTTGTGTTTTGTTTGTATGCCTGTTTGTTTATAATTTGGGTTTTTTTCTTTTGTTTTAAATTATCATTGCTTATTTTTCATCGTTTTGTGTGGTGCTTATGTGAAAAGTATTGGTTCCAGTAGTTTTCTTTTCTATTCATTTAACATTTGTTGACATATTTTTACTTCCTATTCGATATAATTAATTGCCTAATTGTACATTTTATAACAGTTAGCTTTACGATGAATATCACGTACAAATGTCAACATACAAATGTCAACATAATTGACATTCTTTTCGCAATACGAAACTTTGAGTGTCCCTAATTGAATATTTCATTGTTAAATTAAGGTAAGAAATGGTTGGAATTGATTCTATGTAAGATTAGAAATTATTACTTAGTGAATTTATTCGACTGTATTAAAGTGTAGGTGTAAAACCTTTCTATTTTTATTCAGTACTGAATGAATTTGAAGAAAAAAACGGAAATCGAACAGATTTAGATATGCCCACTTAATTACCGAAAGGAAAACATCTGTCTTTAACAAAATCCAGAAAAAAATCAATTAAAATATGAAATCTTTTCCGAAAGGCACATAAAACGTTCCATATCCATTTACGTATCTTAGAAAACCGTGGTTTGCATGTTTAAGAAGTATGAAAACAGAAATTCGATATTTCGTTTTAGATTGACAATAATTTCACGAGGCATATAAAATATAATTTAATGCAAAACGAATATAACATTCAAGAAAACATTAAAGATATATGTTAAGATAACGAAATGGATAGAATTATATCTCAAATTTACACCACTAAAAACACCTTTACAGCGACCCCTAAATTACATCTGTTAATCTAGCACAGTAATGGCACAATCGACAGTTGCAGTTTTCTTTAGATATTAAAATATCAAACCATCGCTTGTTAAAGCCTTCAAGCTAGCACGTGTCTGTAGAATATCGAGATGAAAAGAAGTACTAATTTAATCCATGTTATAATCTCTAAATACCATTAATTAAAATCGTATCAATAAACTTTGTATTCATACATAACACGACACTTCACCTGTGGTGATTTAAAAACAAGCGTCAAAATGCAAACAAGGTTATCCCTTTCTTCTATCCTTTTCATCGACGCACTGATTGGTTTGTTGATAAGAGATTTCTATTCATCGAAACATAATCATTTTCTTTCTTATCTATTTTCAAACTGCTTTTCCCATTCCTCTTACGCGAAAGATTAAATGTCTAATTGAATTGAGTAGCTAAGGATGTACGGCGTTGTATAGCTCACTTCACACAAATCTCCCGAGGGCAAGCGCTGAGCTGTGACAATATATGGTGGGTGCTGATCGCGAGTTGAAGGGGAAATACAACGTCGAGTCTAATTATGGGCAAATCACAGGGTTAGAGCACAGATGATTGGCGCAAACACACAGAATGAGAACAGCAGCGAAGATCTGTTTACTGGCAACATGGCTCATTAATATTCATGAGGCAACGGCCAATGAGATTGCCCGGAGTTCAGCAATCGCTGTGGATAATTCAGAAAATGGGGTGTATAAAGTTTATATGCTATGTTCAGTCTAAGAAAGGCAAATTTGTCACACAAGGCAAACTGACGAAACGTATTTAGGAGCAAACATTACTGGAAGCGGTATTTTAAAGATGTGTAATACCAACCCCAGTGCCGTGTTGATTCCTTATGGGCTCAAGGTACCCAATCCAACACCGTATATGCCTTTCGGTACTAACGTCTCTCAGATGGCATTAGACTTACAGCGGGCTCAGTTTTACGATTACAGTACCCGTCTACAGTATGGCCTTAGGGCAGGGTACCCAAACTCCCTGGGTCTGACACCTTACCACGCTCATCCCGGAACCGATCCGTATATGCACCCGTACCTGTACAAGGACCCACGGGCGCGTTACATTCACGAGGAGCCGAAACCTAACCATAGTTATATAGGACTTATTGCCATGGGTATTCTGAGCCATAGAGATAATAAATTGGTTCTCAGTGATATCTATCAGTGGATATTGGATAATTATGCTTACTTCCGGACAAGGGGACCTGGATGGAGAAACAGTATCCGTCACAACTTGTCACTGAACGATTGTTTTATAAAGTCAGGACGGAGTGCTAACGGAAAGGGGCACTATTGGGCTATACATCCGGCCAACCTCGAAGATTTTAAGAAAGGGGATTTTCGTCGAAGGCGTGCACAAAGAAGGGTAAGGAAACATATGGGCCTTTCAGTGCCAGATGATGAAGAAAGTCCCACACCCTCTCCAACTTCTACGTCTATAACGTGGGATGAAAACGACCCGATTACTGAGACTGAGGACAAACGGGAATTGGACGAAACAAGCGACAAACCTGATACCGGTATGCACGATCCGGCAACTATAAACTCTATGAATATGATGGTTGTCGAAAATACTATAAATAATCATCAACAAACCAGATCAAAGAAAAGACTTTTCGACGTGGAAAGTCTCCTCGCGCCTGATAACTTTGATACTAAACGTCACTGTTTAAACGAATCAAGATTTCGGACGGTGGACCGAAAACTGGCTATTGAGGAGGATGTCACAGTGGACGTTGGGACAGACAATGTGCAGAATACGGACATCGAAAATGAACAATCGCCAAAGGACTTGTCATTAACAAATACAGAAAACTCAGACGGAAATACTGACAAGGAAAACGTTGTTGCACGCGTATCAGGTACCATTGTCCCTGTCTCCGGGGAAATGTATGGTGACGTCACACCGGGTGGGGAAAAGGACATTATTCGACAGACCGGCATGTTATTTAGTTCAGTTGGGAGCGATAGTGTCTGGAAACACGGATGCAAGAACTTTTCATTGATGGCGTCCCGACCAAGCGCTTTCCATAATGCCAGAATGTGTTCATGGGGATCACTGTCACCTTATCTTGCTACGTATCCTTTGGTCAGTATGAAGGGTCACTATCCTCTTGTGATTCCGAGGTCAAGTGTTAGTATGGACACTGCACAAAAGTGGCAGGAAACTGTCGCGCAGCTTGCCACCAGCAATCAGGAGGAAAAACCACTCTCATCGGACGAATAACAATATTTACTGATTAGTGTACACTAGAAACTTAGAGATGTCATTTGTGCATTTACGGTGAAAGTGAAAGAAAGACAATTTAATTTATGAATGAACTGTTAAATGAAACCAAAACAAAATTGTTTAAGTCGTGAGATACTTTCAATATTTTATCTTGTTAAATGATAGAAGAATGACATATATTTATATAATGCTTGGTGCTAGGATGAATAACCATATTGTTTCCAGATTTATGTGTATGTATGTCAGTGTCAATTGTATATTGAAATATGCCTCTAACTTAGGTATGATAAAGAACACTGTCCAACCCAAACGTATATGAAAAGAATAAATTACAAAAATAAGAAATGTTGTCGAGTTTTACCATCTTAAAAATGTCTGGATTTTAACTTAAGCTTTGACCATACCTGCGCGTTAGTGAGAGAATGCGTCGTCGTTTATGAAGACTTCCCGGCACTCGTTATGTAAAATGTGAGTATATCAATTTTAGTTTCAAATTCTGTCTAACATGTCAAAAATGTATGTATATTTTCATTGCCAAAAACTCATTAAATTGTATATAAATCTAGAAAGAGGAAAAGCTATTCTTCATGATTTTTTTTGAAAATATTTTGAAAGTAGTTTCCTTATAGTACCTATTTTAAATTTAATTTTGACATGTATACAGAGTTTGAACTATTTATATCGAACAAAATATCAATTGGTACGATCAAAGCCTTGGTTTCTTACAAAAATCCTATAATCAGATATGCTAAGTTTGATATTTACACTAACCAAGTTTAAATAGTATTAAAACATTTAATTAGAAGTCATGATTTAAAATGAGATTCCGAAGACTAATATTCTTTAGATATTCAAATATTAAATGATTTAAAATTACTATACATCATTTAATTAATTATAATGAAACGGTTATTTCCATATTGAAAGAAAAATGTATCTGCATTAAAATTTTGAAAATATTTCCTATATCAATGTTATCAACTGTAATATCTATACTTCTACAAATAAGCAATTGAGTGGAAGGAAGTTTAATGAAAATAGTATGTTACAGTAAATTACGTTGAGGTAGTTTATTCTGAAATGTTTCGCTAGTACAGTAGTCATATGTTTGTAAATCATTGCTTTAATACCAAATCTAAATATCTCTTTTCAGTGTTTATGAGAATCTAAGTCTGATTTTAATGATACATTCCTAGGTTTTTCGACATTTTGAAACACATTATTTCTAAACAAAATTCTAATGAGGGCATTTGTTAACATTTTATTAAAAATATTATCAATTGTTTTATGATTGAGTATGTCATTAAATACGCTTAAATGTCGTTGGCTTCCTTAAAATGTCCAATCGATGACAGTGATAAGATGTCAGTTAATTGATGATTTATCAAATTAGGAAAAAGAAACGTTTCTCAGATATGATTACGATCATAATTGCAATTGTAAGTTTAATCATGCAACTAACATAGGATTTATAAGCATTCACAAAGAAAACGGACATATTTTACTTATCATATCTATTTATTTTAACGAGATACATGTACATCTATATTTACTCAAGTGTAAAAGTCTTCCTTCCACTGAAAAATAGTAACGTTCTGATCTTCTTTGTCTTAAATTCGTATAATTTATCACAGACGATTTAAAATTCGCTGACATTAACTTGAGTCTTGAATGAAGCTCTCAAATAGGTTGTACGGAACCTGTCAGAGGAGATAGAACAATATAGTAGAACAAGGTTTAAATTTCAATCAGCATCGTGCACAATGTGAACAAAATCAATATGTGAGTGTTCTGTTGACTAATGATAATTATACTCGCAGGTAAATCTTAAACGTGGAATCAAATGGCATTGCTCTCGTGAGAATACCAGCTATGCTTGGTGAAATATACAGGTTTTGATTCTGAGGTTTAAATAAACTTAAACAATTTTAATAACGGTAAATAAAAAAATCCAATATATATATAAAATGTTATTACCCCTGATTATTTTGAATGCAAGCTATAACAAACAATGAATTGATACTAATTTGATTGAGATATGTATTGAGAAAATCTAAGAAAAGTGAAAACGGAAGAAATGACTGCATGACGAGTCGTATAATTCTCGTTTAGATTTATTTCAACCTTGTTATATGTGGCACGTATGTGGATAACTGGCAGATCGAATTAAAATTAAAATGAACATTTATGTTATGTTACAGAATAAAGAAACGAAGAGTTTTATACATTCACAATTCGCATTAGATATATGTATATAATGCTAAATATATAAATAAGTTTAAGTTTTAGTGTACGGTTGGTTAAATTATTGTTTGTATGATATTCAAAGATAAAATGAACAGATTTGTCTATAAACAATAAAAAAATGACAGAAATTCGATAATTTCAAACTTAAATTATAATAACAAAATAACAAACTAGCGTTATACCATAATGATTAATAATTACTTATTATTTAACAAAAAAAAGGATCCGTGTTATTTATGTTTGATTTAACAGTACATGCGTTTCACATCTAATTATCTAATTATCATCTAATTTTATGAGAAAATAGATCTTGCTTTACAAACTATTAAAAACATTTATACATAAAAATGTATGGATATTTCATAAAGATAGCTTGGGATGAAAGAAAGAAAGAAATGAAAAGAAAAGTTTTCGAAACATTGATTCACTGCAAAAAAGATTTGTCAATCATTGAAAACAATCAACGGAATGTAACCCTTCGCTTACAGTCTATATTGTTCAATCACATACAATTAGACGATTTGCTTTCACTCCACTACCGACTGATGGTGATATACTGCTGATCAGCGCGCGACAGACATTCGGAACATTTTTATGCAAGCTTCAAAACAAGTTTTTTAAAACTAACGACCTGGCTTAAAGAACATCATGATAATTAGCTTAGGTTATGTTCAACTCATTAACCTGTTTCTGATGTCACGGTTATAGTTAATTAAATGAGCACGGGATATTGTTCTATGCCGCTTGCAATACAATACTATTAGATCAAGTGAAATATACACCAGCAACTATTATCAATAAGATGTAATTCAGTTTCATTTCAAATTAACCTCAACCATCAGCAGCTCTTCTGTAGAGTGTGAAGTGTCATACATAGCACAATAAATATACTTAATTTTGAACTAAGCAGCTGTAGTACCATGTTAGTAGAGCGGTTTACCCTTTTACCTATGTTAAGACAACATGAAATATTTATGGCAGCATCGAATGAATAGCAAACTTAACTTTGACTCACATAAGCTATATAGGACTCTCAAATTTAGTGTTTTAAAAATATATATAAACAAAAAACAGCTCATAGATTGTCCATACAAGTGTTACAAAAACGAAAAGAACATTTTGTCGTGTAAATTAGTGTTTGATTTAGTGAATTACGTTATTATTCTGAATATGTAATATAATTTATGTAATTCTATAATCTCTATTCATGTAAAAAAATATTTCAATGCTTTTTCAGTGTAAATAATACATAAATCTAAGCTTGTATAACAAAGCGATTTAGATGTTTACTCACCGAAACAAAATACCTTACTCATTGTAAACTATTCCAGCTTTCTGTAAGAGAAATATTTGAACATTAAAATAGTGGAAAAAACTGTAAAACTTCCCATTTTAACGTGTATAATTTTCTCGCGGTTTTGACTTCAAATTATAAGCGTTATTGATTCAAGAACTGACACGCAGCTAACGGATAACTTCATTTGCTTGTAATTTATGTCGACGTAATTTGATCAGCAATCTGATATAATAGAAAATGTAATTCGCGAGAAAAAAAGTCGGGTTTTACAGTACCTGAACAATAATGACATTAAACTATTTATTTTAAGAGTTTGAATAATAAATTATTATTATATCATTTATTGTTTTTATCAATCTGTGCAATATCTAAGATCTATAAAAGAAGATAAGTCAAAAACCCTGTTTAAAATTTGAATAAATATTTATAAAATTGGCATTGATTACATTTTATTGTATCATGTCATTATATGTTAGTCTGGTTAGATCGATAGAAATAAATCCACATATACATGCATGTTTCAAAACCATTTTTTATACGAATGAGTCCACATATACATGTCATTATATTACAGTACAAAACATAGCCATCACCATACGACAGAAAACCTTGTCGACATGGTTTTCTTCAAAATTCTGAACACAAAATCAGTTTAAACATATATTTTAATTAAATATACAATGTATTATCAACATGGCTAAAGTGTAATGAACATTTCTAGGATAAAAAGACATATTTCATGACACGGAACTTAAATTTTCAATCAATTTTATTAGCTTCCCACCTATCTTCCCTATCTGTTTTTCCTTATTCTGACTGTGACGTTTTGAATCCTTACATTTCCATCTTTGATTAGCTATATAAATGTATCAGAGTCATTAACATCATCAGATGGACTGGACATAGATCAATAGTACATCTGACTTTAGGTAGGAGATATCCCCGCCGCCTTTTTAGCTTCATACCCGTAATCTATTATTCTCAAACTTTGTCCCCTAAAAGTGTTGTATTTTATTTTTTCTCTGTTATTACGTCTGGTGCAATAAATCATTCACATTGTAACTAAGTATGAGAGATAGTAAAAAAAATATGGATTTATGAGTAAAATGGTATATCAAAACACGCTATGATGTTTCGTAGATTCACCCGCAAAGTCATACCGTGTTTTGCCTCCGTTTTGTTGTGTTGTAATGTTTATGATCTGTTATCTCTTTTTAGCTTCTCTGTTCTGCTGTTGATGGTGTTTTTGTTCAGACATTGAGATTCGATTTTGTCCATGCGTGGTGACCTTAAAAAGTAGTTTTTGTATATGTTTAACGATTCAATATTTAGACGTGTATGGTTCTCCTGGACAATTTTGTCCTTAATCATCATTTAGTTCATATTCTTACAATTTAACAGTTAAATTGAACAGTTTCATTTTATATCTAATGATACAAAAGATACTACACAAGAGAGCTTATACACACAATCATGACTTTTTTTATATAAAGAGAAATAATGATGGAATTGCATGAATTCATGAATTTAAACAGAAACTATAACAACCATTTTATAATCATATTGTGTACTGAAACAAACAAATTACAAAACAAAAAATATAAACAATTTTCTGATCGAGTACTAGCTGATAGACCAAATTATTCTGAACGATACAGCTCGTGATACAAACAGTTACACAATATATCACACTTTCCCTGATTATAAATACTGTACCTGTCAGTCTGCCGTTACCAAACCGACATTATTGTTCTCACATTTCTATTTTTACAACAGATGCTTTTTCCAACTGTACTTATTTGGTAGAATA